GCCGCATCTCCTCGACCACGAGCTGGAACCCCGTCCACGCGAGCCCGCCCTCGTGGGCCTCGACGCCGGCGCAGTTCCAGCGTAGGGCCTCGTGCGCGGCGAGACAGGCCGGCGTGAACGCTTTCTCGCTCTGGGCGTGCGCCTCTCGGAAGCAGTGCTCGAACTCCTCCCAGCTGGCCGTGCCCTTCTGCTCCTTGTCCTCGTGCACGCTGCGGCGGCAGCACCACGTCTCCGCCCCCACCTTCGCGCTCCCCGCAGCCACGCGCTCGAGTTCCGCAGCCGGGATGACGCGCTCCAGGACCTCGACCTTGGCCGCGGAGTCTGCGTGGGAGTGGCTACCCTTGGACTTCCAGAGCTTCGTGCCAGAGGTAGTAGATTTCTTCGGCGCTGCCGAGTCAATAAACGGTACGGCCTCTTGTAAGATAGATATTAGGAACGGCGCCAGCTCGTCAGTTGATGCGGTTGCCGCGGGGAGCTGCTCGGTACGCAGACCCCATAAGCGGACGAGAGGGCCCAATCCGCCGGTCGACATGGTGAATTAAGCTCCGTGCCTTGATCACAATTTAAATTCTCTCTCCCTACTTCCTATGCTGTCGTGACGAGAAGTAAATATTAAATCTGTTTCGATATAGCTGTCTGTCGAGGTGCTTAGACCGTAAGTCAATCCAGAACCCCCGTATTAATGACACTTGAAATAATTGCAACAATCAAATCAACATAATAAATATTTGCTCACGGCACAGCCTACACAGATTTGTTGAGCAGATCTACCCTAGGGACCTATGTAGGACAAGATCGTGATGCAGGGAGCTTCGGATAGGCTGCGTCATCAATCTGCAGCGGGCGTTTCCAATTGCCGGCAGGGGCCCGGGCCTCCTTACTGTAAGAGGCTGAGGCACAGCAGTAAGGGACAGCAGTAGGTAACTTGTAAGGGACGGAGACCCTGCAAAGTAACCAACATCAGCTCTAAATGGCGGGGTGAAATGCATATAGGTACTAGATAGGTAGATATAGGATTTAGATATAGATGATTTCTTTCTCAATTATTAATATTATTCTACTAAGTTGTGGTTTCTGTCTTCATGTCATGCCCCGGCCGAAAGCTCTTTTGTCTTTGGTCCGTGATCGTCATCTAGTTAAAAATGCACATGATGCTGTGTATATACAGAACTCTAGGTATGTAATATGCGCCTCGCTTTGCCCCGTTCCCACACACCGTTTACCAGTCTCGCTTCTCCCAGTGAATATTGGCCGGCTCGATCGGCCGTGAGAATAGCGAAGCGTAGTCCGTTTCAATGACCTTGTCGCTTCCGTCGACGTTCCTGAACTTGAACATGCGAACAATCATGGCGTTGATGGTCTGCAGCTGCACGTTGGCGAACTGCTCACCGATACATCGATGCCTTCCAGCGCCGAATGGGAGGTAAGGAGATTTTCCGCCTTTGCTAACCATGCCGTATCCGTAGTCGATCTTCTCTTCCTCTTCCGCATCGTTGCGCACCACCGACGGCGCAAGGGGGGAATCCTTGCTCCACCGAGTGGGCTCCCAGATGTCCGGTTGAGGGAAGTAGGCAGGATCCGTTGCAGTTACGCCGGCGGCAGAAAGTAGAGTATGGCTAGTAGGGACGACATATTTAGTTCCGGGGACCGGCATAGGGGACTTGACAGCCCTCAAGATGGAGTGGATTGGTGCATGAAGTCGTAGTGTTTCCTTGACGATTGCCTGGTTCAGGGGAAGCTTCGCGAGGTCTTCGTATTTGAGAGGCGGGAGATCGGCACCGAGAGCTTCGACTTGTTCGCGATACAGCGCCTCCATTATATCCGGGCGCGAAGCGAGACGGAGCATCATCCAAGAGCTAGTCGAAGAGGAAGAATGCTGGCCTGCCATGAGCAGCGCGATTAACATGTGCGCGATTTCGTGGTCGGGAACGTTGGCGCCATTCTTGTAAGTCGAGTTCATCAAATGCCACATCATATCTTGCGAATCGCTCTTGCCAGCAGCTCGGCGTTCCTTGATGGTATCCATGTAGACCTTGGCAATAGTCCTCTGAGCATTGTCTCGTCTCTTGTTCCAGGGCAGGGGAGCCCAGTGAAGCATGAAGTTGACGGGAGTGAAGCCCATATCCAGATCGTGGTACAAAGCGGCCAGCGACTCGTCAAACTTGCTTCGAATCTCACTGCCTTGAAGAGAGTGCGAGGCGGTAAAGATGGTGATCTCGGCCATGTTCTTGGGGATGTTGACTACACCCGACTTGCCCTTGAAGTCGGGACATCTCTTGAAGTAGCTGGACACCTCGTCGGCGATGATAGGCACGTATGATTGGAAGGCGGTCGTGGTAAGGGCAATTTTCATGAACTTCTTCTGCTCCATGAGCTTCGAGTTGGGGCAGTCGTAGACCACATCCTTTCCAAAAACCGGGGTCGTAAGGACGGTGTAGATATCCTCAGCGCAGACATCCTTAATCTTGCCGTTTAGGATGAAGTCGTTGCCTTCGGTGCCAAGGTATACGGTCGTCTTCTTTCCGAGGAGAACGAAGGTGAAGATATCGCCATACTGTCGCGTTCTGTTAGCACGCTACCTGACTTGTGAAATGGGTCGAGGAACGGGAACGGGAACGGGAACGTACCTTGGCGCGGTTTTCCTTGAAGAATCGGGGAGGGTCCATGCCATAGGTGATGGTGCTCCCTATTACGGGAAACCAGTGGAAGACTAGCGGCGGTTCATTTGGATTTTTGAAAAGGATCTGCTGTAAAACATTGAGGAGAACGCCGAAGAAGACAACACCGCCTACGATAACGCCCACTTGCGACGGTGTCGAAAGTTGCGACATGTACTGGGAAACGGGTCCCTGAATCTCTTCTAAGATCCCCATTGCTAAAACTGCTTGCGACTGACTCGTCCTAGTCGATTTGCACTTCCAGCTCGTGACCTTGGGGAAAACGAAGCAAAAGATGCGGTAAAAATATTAGGAGAAAGTTTAATAAATACAAGAAATTTGAGGGTACATTATCAGACCCTTTTTGGTAAAGGATGGCAAGAGATTGGCCAATCGATAGGGGGTTCGACATCGGCCCATGCTCCCCTGCTCAAACGGTACAAAGGTACTTCGTATTCGCATTCGCCGCTATTTGAACTCAACCTCCTATGTATTACATATGTCTTGAAGAACTGATTATCAAACAAGAACGCCATTGGCTTCACACCGCTACCGAAGCTACGTCAAGTTTGCAATTACGTATGGCACGTCTACGTACGATATTGCCCAAACTTGTGTCTATGTAGTATCTCAGATGCGAGTACGATCAGGCCAGGGCAAGACAGATTTGGTATTGGAGAGCATGACGATGATACGATTTAGGATTAGATTGGACTGAACAACCTTGGCAAGTTTATTTGAACAAAAATTGAACCAAAACTCTTCGTTCGACCAATCGCGTCTTCTTAATTACTTCTCTAACGTGGGAATGAGTTTGTTTAATAGACCTAAACTTAGCTGTACATACACTCACATTTTATCTCTTGTTACTCGAGTAGCATGATACTTCAATCAGGTAAACGTATTACAGCTGTTTATTGTATTCCTTTACAAATTCAAGATTATTATTCCGAAGAACATGAAGCATTATTGCTGTTCGTAGATAGTCAAAGTTCATCCAATAACTATGACAGCTCTATTTTCTTTAAAGTTGAGCTACTACCTGTGCGTTGAGGACACGGGCTGGTAGGGCCTTCTGGAGTCACGATAAGTTACAACAGCACATGTGCAAATCTTAACTAATCTCAAATCTCCAGAGTGTTGACCCTCAAGTCCTAAGATAGCGTGTATGTATTGCGTTTACATGCAGATTCAATCAAGCGCCGTGTATCATTCAAGTCCATTTAGGTTATTACTGTATAGCATCTCGTATTCGGGATCGTGACCTCTATTCAAGGCCACAGAAGAGCGTCATCGTCTAAGCCACCGCCGGCAGCTGTAACGCGGAGTCTAGGCAGAAATAGTAGCTATCAATGCAGATCTAGCTACTTATTTATACCGTCTATCGACTTCCACAATCCCTATGTTTTCTAATGGCTAGCAGATGAAGGCTAACAGCGATGCTCATTAGTGATATCCGCAATCCCGCTGATATAGGCCTCCTGTGTGGCCCATACAAGGCCACTCATGACTTATTAATCGAGCTGTATCGATATCTTGACGTTGTTCTGGTACAAGAGCTATGGCTTTATCCATCAGGGCATATTAGACTCGCAACTTCGGTAGCGAAACGATCTAGGCTACCATGTTCTCCTAGACACCACGGATGATGGACGCATGAAGCGAGTAAAATGGTGGACAATCATGTAACATCGCAATGACCCTCATTAGCTAAAATCGTCGCCTATCAGGTTCCAGATATTATTCAAGTATCAAATCTACACAAGCGAATACGAAAGAGTTGTCGAGGTTGCCTTAACCTCGTTCGAACCACGTTGGGAGAGAAGCCTTGATTGTCGAAGAGAATATGTTTACAGCGTATACCCCTTCCTCTCGCACCGTAATAAGTCGTTTGGAGTATACGGCCGACTAGGGAGCTTTGCAAGCGTTGCTCGCAAAAAAGGGGGTTCCCATACACTATTCACGGAATTCATCACAGGCCAAAAGTAGATAGTTGAAAGAAGTTCGAATCACCTTCGTATCCAACACCCACCAGAAACGTGTCCCAAGACCGAAGGCTTTCGTGGAGACGATCACACCCGAGTCAACTCTTTACTTACCAGGTGCTCTGGTGTTCTTGCCCGAGCTTATGTGCATCTATGAGCAGGTTTTAGATGATCCTGGTGGAAAGGATAAAGCATCCACCTACAAGTGTATGAAGATATTTACCGTTGCTGGTGTTACCTATACCAGGCCCTGTCATGACGACCGTTTCGATGTTGTCGAAGGGTCTAAGGTGAGGAAGAAGAGCCGGATCATCCTCATTCTACGACCCATGCCTTAGAAGACGAAAAAAAAGAGTAGTGACAGGAGTGGGATTCGAACCCACGCGGATGTCTCCATGAGGAATTAGATGCTTAGATTGACCTAAACCTCACGCCATAACCAGCTCGGCCATCCTGCCCAGGCATTAAACTTGCCAATGCTCACTAGGCTTTGTTGTGGGTTTGAAGTGCATTTGCTTCTATGTGGAACCCTTCATCAGCTGGTGCTCCTTCCTAACCCACCTAGAGAAAGTTTGGGAAGCTATAGTGCTACGCCATGTAGACAAATATTAACATACCTAGGTAGGTAGGTACTCTGTGCGAATCGAAACCTGTAATGCCTACCTGGGTTGTACAGATGGGAGGACCCAGTGTCAGATACCTAGGTACCTAGGTAGGTAGGTACCTATTTGTACGGTGCCTAGGTGAGTGAGTAATAAGCAAGCACTGCTCATGAGTTGACACTTCTCTGTATATCCTAGGTACCTATCCACTCGCCATATGAAATACCATACCTCACAATGTGCTTGGTCTTCAATAATACCTCATGTATCATGATCACAACTGGTCGATATAATATTCCTATCACAGAGATATCGATATGGGGTTGTTTAGCATAGGAAGAGGAAAATTAGTGCCAGTGCCGATGAAATTGTACGTACCAGCATAGCAGCTACAGGTATCTTAGGTACAATTCAATGTTTGAAAGCCCGCGTGACAGATTGATTAGAATAAGGAAGGTACGTACAAGTGCACATAGAATGAGGTAGACAGGTAACTGACGTTTTTCACCTCAGGAAACCACGATGCTAAACATAAGTAAAGTGCACCTGAGGTATTCAAGGTACGTACCTACCCACCGTACCCACCCGGCAGAATTCTCACCGCCCCAGCAATTTGCTTAAAACTCGACCGGCCTCGATTCGTCTACGAGATTTTTTTTTCCCTTTTACATCATGTACGAACATGTAAGACTCCCACCCCCCATACTGGCGATGCCATCACACATTACCCTCTACCTATCTACCTTTCATCCATCCTTTCAATCAATCAATGATTCACGATACTAACAATCGCTGCGAACAGACTTCAGAGAATCATTTCTATAGTATTCGTCCTACTCTGTGTTCCTTACAGGAGCCACAGATCCCACCCTGGTTGATGAACTATATCCCCGTTGCCCTAGAGTGAAATTCAAACGGGAACGTCGCGGCTTCGGTCGCTTCGTTCCTTACTCTCGCACTGCCCGCAAGGGTGGCGGCACTTTCACGAGTGCTGTATAGAGAGTGGTGAAGATCTCAACCCCGATTGCTGCGGTCTTGCCTTCGGGCGCGTGGCCGGGGTGGGCGATGGCGGAAGTCTGACAGGTCGTGTTTTTGAATATCTTTTTCGTTACTATCGTGCGCTTGACGTGCGAGGTGAGGAAGAAGTTCCCACGTCTTGACTTGAATGCTGCATATCGTGAATCACAGGTGCTATTTGTGTTTACCTCGTCGGCGCTCTTGGATGCAATCATCAAAGATCTATGTACGCGTCGGCCTGCTTCCTCTTAACAAAGCTTCATGATTAAATTGTACAACCTATTCTGCACGACTTGTCCATCCAATTAATTCATCGAGCTGTTTGTGATACCTCCGTCCATAGTAGAACGCGTCTCAACTCTGAGACGGACAATTGGGCAAAGCCCATATCACCCTACCAGTCCAGCCTGCACGCCGTCCTCGCGAACCAGCGCGTACTATCGCAACCCTCGTCCTCATCCTCGTCCTCGTCTCCATTCTCGTCTCCATTCTCGTCCACATTCATAGCCACATTCCCGACCAGCGACCATGTTCGAATACCCAGCAAGTCAATATCTCAGGTGCAGAAATCGACAAATTTTCGTAGTGGGGCGAGCTTCATACAATATCACCCATGTACTGCCACTACGACTTGTGCATTTTTCGAACACACATTCCCTCAAAATAATCACGACGGCCCGGACGGTATAATACAGTTCAAATAAAATAAAATTGCTAATGCCGGTCCGGCTACGAAAGGCTATCTTCCCTTTCTGGTCCCCCTTGCGGATGGGACATGATGCTTTTCTTTCTCTACTGATCTTTCTGATGCAACAACCTATCCATCCACCGTATGCCATGTGTATCGAGACATTGGACGTATATCCATCTCGATATCATCAAAGCACTCCTCCCTAACGCCGCTCGGAAAATGAAGGCTATGCTATATGCGGGATATCTTAATTGTTTTTGATGCCGGCCGGCCATCTTGTGCAACTCAAACGCCTAAAAACGCCCATTGTATGTCGAATACTTATGCTTGCTTGCTTGTTTATGAGGGTGACAACGCGGTCCATTGGAAGTCTCCGTCGATGTTGACCCACCTCCCCTGCTCCATCGCCTTCTCCCAGCCCATGATCACGGCCAGCAGCCGGCATCCCATCGCGCTCATAGTGCAGATGACTGCGTCGCTAGCCTGGCCCAGGACAGCTAGGTCCAACGCGTAAGCTCGTCCAATCAGCCCTCTAAGCCGCATGGTCTCAGCCGACGGTTTGAGTGTCGTTTGCACCTCGCCTGCCGCGTTGGCGTTGTTCAACGTCGAGCGCCCCAAATTCCAGAACATGGTCGCGAAGAATCCGCCCTCCCAACCGAAAGTCTCGTCCACGAATTTGTGCATCACTGACTTATCGGGATTCGCCTTCTGGATATGTTGCTTGCTGGCAAGCTTGATCTGCTCTTGTGCTCGCATTGAGCCCGAGAATTCTTCGGTTTCGTAGACATCGGGGTCGTCCGAGGCCACAATAGCAAATGAATGTTGCTTTGCGACCAGGTCTTCTCCACCAAGAGGGCTACTAAAGTTGTGGACCTCCTCAACAACCTCCCTGGATCGCTGGTGGTAGATGTTGAGAGGTACATACGCCCCGTTGTACTGATACTCGTACGGGTGCAGGTCGCCATGTCGAATGTGGACTCCGATTATCATGCCATCGTTGTAGTTCCCCTCTGCCACCTTGGCCGTCGATCTCAACTCTTTGATGCGATGTTCCACGTAGGGCTGATCCTCGTCATTTAGACGGAACAACGCCTCATATCCGGCTCGAGCAAGGTCGTACACTGGTCGTTCCCGGTCCATATCGCTTCGGTGGATATTTTGGTATTCGAGATTAAAGCTACTGCCGAATGTCTGAGAGGCTGTGGCGGCTGATACGACCAAGTGTCGCGCGGTATGAGGGCATGGTAGCATCTCGTGACGGGGTGGTGGATTGCAATCAGGCATCGGCGGTGCCTTAAAGATGGCAGTGTATTCGCCATATGCCCATCGTGAGTCGTCAATGAAGAATGATCTCCTCTCTTTCTGCGCAAGACCGTACGCCATCCATAACATCATTAGCGTAGGCCCTAATCCAGCGTTCGTTGATTCGAGAACAAATGTCAACGACGTTCTGCAGATGCCCCTATCAACTAGTCCGTCTGCTCTGTCTCCCACCAAGTGCCCGTTTTGAGCCTGGGCAGTCACTTTCCATGCCTTGCCTTCCACACCCGGCAAGAGTCCACGTTTCTCGGCATCGCTAACATCCAGGAAGTAGGGATCCTCGTAGTAGTAATGCGTCTGAGCCTCTTGAGAAGGGTCCGTGTAACCGTGCAATTCCTTAACATGGGCCGCCACCTCTTGGCATTGGACGCAGATATCCGAATACTCCTTGATGCTAAGTGGAAAGTCGTACGTAGGTGGGATGGACACGGTCCACTTCGATCTGCCGTTGCGGTCCGTCACAGCGATTGGCGTAGGGAATTCCGGCAAGTCGTACTGGCCAACCATTTCAAACTCTTGACGGTCCTCCAAGACCCATCCGACGACGGGCACCCGCACATTTTTCGTTACCACTGCCCTGACGGCAAACGTGACTAATACTAATCCAAGGACCCATGCAAGAACTCGGAGGACCCGGCTTGGCCTCGGTCCGGTGGATGATTTCCGCGGCCGGGGCACTAAGGCTGGCAATCCAGGCGACGGCGGCGGGGAGAACATTAGATGGTTAAAGTTGAAGCGCGACGAAGTGGAAGAAAACGTCGTCTTTTCATGTTGATACGAAGCGGCCCTGCGCAAGTTCAGTCGAGGTGGTGCGACGATCATTTTGGCGTGGGTGCTCTGGGATAGGTCCAGAGTCGGCGACATCGCTCATGTAAGTGAGGCAAGTGACGTCTAAGTCGACCTCACTGGGGCACTCAAGTGAATGTGAATTATACGAATGGTCGGGATTTTCGGATTACCCGTTTATTATAAAACATGTAAGGAGCGACAACAAAGATAAGGTGAGCTGCAGATGCGGCAGCGGTGAGAGAGAAGTTGGAAGTGAGATGTTGGAAAAGGAGCGACGAATGATTCAAGGATGGTGATTATTCATTAGAGCCAGGCATCGGGCATACGGTGTATCAAGTTCGCATCTACATCTGTGGTGTATCGAGGAACAAGTTCAAGTTACCATACCACTAAAGCACTTGACTGCCGAAGATGGTGAACCTCGAGTCGCAGAAAAGAGAGAGGAGGAAACTCCGGGTGGTGGCCGAACCCTTGTGCGACGCGGTACTTGTATGCCTGATGGATGTCTTCGACACTGGAGGTGATCGTACCCAGAAAAAGTAGGTGATCGCTCCTGCGAAAGGTAGGCGACGATCCAACCAAGGACTATTCCCTTTCTCGGCACTAGATCGCAGAGTAGCCTGCTGCCGCTTATGTACAATATCCCAGGAAATGGGGGAAAATGGGGGTTGGCTAGGGTCCAATATATTTGACCGCCCAATGCTTTTTCAAAGGTGAGATGACGATCACGAGCGGGTGGCCCAATGAAGCCGAGGACCACGAGGGCTGAACAGCGGAGAGACAATTAAATGCGCCTGGCATAAGAGAGACCATAATAAAATAACCTTACTGACGAGTCGGGGTTGAGACGACCGAGACCGTTGATAGAAAAAGGAAAATATTTCGTAGATCGAGGGAGGCAGGGAGGGTATGTTACCACAGAGGAAGATGGTAGCTAACCTGAAGCCTCGAGAATGAGAAAAATATGTGCCGAATTACCTGATGGGAAGAGTATGGGAGCATATGGGAGCATATGGGAACATGTGGGAGTAATAGTCGA